AAACTAGTTGAGGAATCTAAAGGAAATTAAAAAAAACCGAAACAATATTAATATACAACCCAGTGTGTCTTAAGATTTTAATCTTTTAATCTTTTTATTGTTCAAAACATGTGTGTGTGCGCCCGCTTGCGTGCGCGCGTGATTCCATGTCCGTGTATACAGAAATATAAAAGGAAGTAGAGTAATATCTATATATTTTTATATTCCATAGAAATACCTATATGCAGAGAAATATCGAATTATCTGATTACAGAAAAATGAATAGGAACACAACAAATGAACAGAGAGAGAGAAAATGATAGATAAACTAAATGCATCTCTATGGCTCCTTTGTAGTTTAAACTACGGTGAAATTTCGCCGAAAACCTTTTAGTAGATTTGAGATTGCAAGTGAAGAATATAACTATGACAGAGACAGATAATGACAAGTGGTCGTCTCTACCCAATATGATTCCATTAAGTTTTATTAAATAAATCGTTGGACACGCCGCATACGTGCAAAGCAAATAAAACACTCCTAACATTACATACATAATTTCTTATTTTGCATTTAACCGTTCCAAATATTTATGGAGGTTCTTTATTTATGCTCGCCTTTTATTAGATGTGGCGGTTTGGAAGGTTTAATATTGCAAATGGATTGCGCGGGTAGTGTATCGGCAAGAAAATTGAAAACGGTGAGTCCAGTTCAAATTCGTCTCTGAGCAATTGCGTTCATTTTTACACAAGTAGCAAAGTCTATTGGATGATCTGACCTTAGACTATCACTAGTCTAAGATGATTGGCTATGAAATCAAACGCGGAGAGAAAACGACGAGAAAGATCTCTACGGGTTTTCCCTAGAAATAATGTCAAATCAGAAATAATAAAGGTGGGGACTTTGTGGTGAGTCAAGATCACATATGTCTTCAAGTTACATGGCAGTAAAAAATGACATTTTTTCGGAGTTGAGCTTTCTCTCTCTCTCTCTATATATATATATATATCTATATATATATCTATATCTATATATATATATATATATATATATATATATATATATATATATAATAAAAACTTTTTTCTGTTTTCTTTGTAGGTCTGATGAATTGGATCGTATTTACGATTCCAATGGAATAAATTATGACCATGGACCATTAGTGCTTAAACCTTTTTATTATATCCTTACTCTGTCCTGGACATTGAGTTCTACCTGGATTCTATCCTCTTGGAATTTTCATTCAAAAAATATACATGTCTGTTTATGCACCTATGTATATATATATTTATATATTTTGCATATGTATGTGTATATTTGCCACTAATATTATCTATCTATCTATCTATCTATCTATCTATCTATCTATCTATATATATATATATATATATATATATATATAATGCATGTTCCATTAAATAATATTGACAAGTTTGTCTATATATATTTTAAGGAAATTCCTTTCATATTGTCGAATAAGCTTTTTAACATTATCATTGAGACACGAAAGAAAATCACTATGTTGATAAATGCTTTATTGTTAATCTTGTCTAAGCTTTCGGCTTACGTAAGCCATCATCAGAGATTCATTGCGAATAATTTAATAATTTATTTGATGTAAATTCATTAATGAAAAATGCTGCCTATATATATATATATATATATATATATATATATATATATATATATATATATATATGGTAAATGAAAAGTAACTTCCTATTTTATGCATGAGTGGCCAACCAGGAGTCCAGATTAAAGCCATGTGACTTTTCTATTTGAGGTAGGTTAAAGAATTAAGTCTGCTATACCAAACGAAGCCCTTGGAAGAAGTTAAAGGACGAATGCAAGAAGTTATCACTTCCCTACCGCAACAGTTCATGGTTGATGCGATTCCTCGGCGGCTCGTGAATGTGGAAGCGAAATCTGCTGCCCATATCGAATTTTAAATAAAACCTCATGCTAAACGTTTTCCTCTTATATTCATTTCTTGTAAAAATTATAGTTAATAAATAAATATATCTATTTCAAAATAGGGAGTTAGATTTAAATCACCATGTACATAACACACTTAACCCTACACAAGGGAATAAAGTCACTAAGACACAAGGATTTTCTAAAGATGAAAGACAAAGGGTGAGAGAAATGAGAAAATATTACTGGGGAGAAAGGACAATCAAATGAATAGGATTCAGGAAATAGAAGATAATGATTAACATGGCATTTAAACTTTTTGTTGACTTCCTTATCCGTTTAATATTTATAAACATGCATTTATATTGATTTAATATTTAAATTAAACCGTTACTCTTATTTGCAATTCAATAAACCCTGCATTTATCGTCATATAAAAAGTGAATATATATATTCTGGGGAACCCTTTGCATATATGAAAATGAGAGGAATAAAAAGGGTAACTTTTCTTAGAAAGTTTTATTAAAGCGTATAGACCACGTATGTTAATTTTTTAAGATTCCTTTTTTCATTTACAAATGGTGAATGACTTTTTCGAAAATGTGGCTGTTATAGACCCTAAGAAGGACCTTAGGAGGAGTCTTTCTGAAGAGTCTGAGATGATGAAGGAGGCTGTGACAAGGGACTTGGATAACTCCATTTTGGTTAGTTTCAGTTTTTGTGAGGTGCTCGAACTCTACAAATGCACTGAAGTCAGAGGATCGTATTTTGAAGTAAAGTTTTATACTTTTCTGAAATAAATTACAGCAAAGTCAGAAAAATTCTGGAATGCATCATGTAGATGAGTGTATTTTGTTGGTGTTTTATATGATTAATTTGCGGATAGAGGCTGGTAAGTAACCATTGGTATATATAACAGGTGTAACAGCAAAATTGTCCAAATCGTGTAACAGCATAATTGCCCATCCCGCAAAATGTGTAATATCTAAAAGAAAACCCACTAAACTAATTGAATTTCTTCTTTCCATGTTTTCAGATAAGACGTTTAGCCCCCTTGACAAAATAACAGATTAAGTGGTTAGTCCTGGTATTAGTTAAATCGCTTTTTGCTCATTATTGTTTCAACTTTAAAATGTTACGTGTCTAATATAACAGTGACATGGAAATATCTCTCGGAAGAAAAATGTCGGCGACGACAACGCCTATTTCAACAGCAAGTTAAAGAAGACTGTGACGGACGCAGATAGCCTAAACGCGCATACACGCATATATTATGGTTAATTTCCGCTTACCAACAGAATGGGGGTCACGTGGAAGTCTTGTGACATTTTGGGAAAGCAAGTCAAAAGGTTGACTGACCCAATTACCCGTAGCAACAAATGTCTAGAAGGAAGCTAGACAGGGGACTGATGTAAGCTGGAATTCGCGCCAAAATTCAAGACACGTGAGAGTTACAAATTTACTTGGGCGTCAGTTGCTGTCTTGTCTTTGAAGGAGCAAGACTCGAAATCGAAGCGCTGATAATTTATGAACGGAAAGATAAGACTCATTTGATAATGATAGAACTTGTACGATTCATCCCAGGCAACTCCGGACAAGAAATATAATAACAAGTATTTCTGTTCGATAACCCCAAATTGAAGACGCAGAGAAATTTGTACGCTGAGAATACAGCCTGTGTTTGAAGAAAAGATAAAACCAAAGAGGAAGAAAGTATATACCTTTGTTACAAGTTGAATTGTGTAAAGAAGAAGAAAGAAAGAAAGAAAGAAAAAGGAAAGCCAGAAAGGAAGAAAGTGTATATTTCTGTTACAAGCTGAATTGTGTGAAGAAGAAAAAAAGAAAGAAAGAAAGTAGAAAACCAAAGAGAGGAAGAAAGTGTATATCCCTGTTGAAGTGAGTCGGGTTTGGAAACTGAACTGTCTACAGAAGAAGAAAGAAGGAAAGAAAAAAAAGAAAAAACAGAGAGAGGAAGAAAATGTATATCTCTGTTACAGCCGGACAGTGTGTGAAATCGTATTCGTGTCAAGAAAAGAAAAGAAAGGACAATGATAAAAAAGAGAACTGAATATAAAAGATAAGTAATCATATATTTTGGACCCGTATTAGAAAGATACATCCATAAATACTATGTTCTTACAAACACCTTTCCACATGTCAAAATAATAATTGTAACTCCTATCCCATCTCTTTTGTGTATGCATTGATTTCTGCATTCGTAGTAATTCATACTTATATTTTTTGTACGTTCGGATTCAGTCGAATCCATTTGGAGTTAGGCGTACTTTGATATCCCAACATAAGTCTTGAAATCTGGTCGTCAGATGTTTTTATTCATGTTTATATTTTCTTTTATTTTAATATTTTGTATATCTGTAAAAATTAAAGTTCTTATATCAAAATTCACTACGCCTTATCGTCCATCCTTGAATTGTGGATCAGTATTCGTGTTGAAACCGAAGCGAACCTGGGAAAAGATTACTGTTCGATTATCCTGTTCTTAAAATATGTTTTTGTTTACCAATTGTCCATTGTCACGATCTGAGAGAGATAGCCTGTATCTCTCCACAGGTGTGAGAATGTATATATCTTCTGGTCGGCGTATGATCGCCTTATAAACCTATTCGTCGACTAAGGCATATGACAAGACGCTCACTTAATAGAGTAAATGTACTTGAGTGCCTCACATGAAAAGCATGAACAAATAAGACTACTGTCTAATAAACTTAGTTGATTAATTAAACGGTTTATTGTGCTCAGGAACTGATTTTGAATAAATGCAGATAAATATTTTATAGATTATTAAAACGACTAATAAAGTAATCACTTCTAGATTTACTAATTTAAGTTGATTTACCTCCCTTCTCACTACAAATGGGACAGCAATTATATAAATAAATACAAATTATAACTATTCTATGGTTTAATAAACGTTTTCATTATATATCAAGAGCCTCTTGATTTTACAGCTTGTCTTGACTACATAACAAGCGTTTTAACACAGTGTTAGATATTATTTCCTTTCATTTCACATTTCTACGTTGGGCACAGAGTACATTTATACTCGCAAACAACGTATTACTCTTATGATTGAGTTTCGACTATGTACAGGCCGCCACTGAGACCTGTGCCAACTAGAAGGAAAGAAAAGAAAGGACAATGATAAAAAAAGAGAACTGAATATAAAAGATAAGTAATCATATATTATGCACAAGTCTTGGCTCAGTAAAAATCACAAATGCCTAACTAGTGAGCTACCTAAACAGATTGATATGAAAGAAACTGAAATAGTAACATTGAAAAAAAGATTGATAGATAGATAAATAGATATGAACATATAGACAGGTATGAATAGATAGATAGATAGATAGATAGATAGATAGATAGATAGATATGAGAATATGAAGAGGCTTAGATATGAGGATATGTAGAGACTTAGATAGATAGATAGATAGATAGATAGATATGGGGATATGAATATAGATAGATAGATAGATAGATAGATAGATAGATAGATAAGAGTAAAGTTAGAATGAGAATCCGACGGAATGATAAATATATATGGCAGTTTGGAAATAATTTACTTTGCTTCACGAATGATTTGACGTTGTCAGAAAGTTAATTTTATTTTATACCAAAACGCTTCATATGAGCGATATGGAACGATATTCATGTTAAGCGCCTTAACAGTTGATTTGTCCTTTGCTTTTATCGTTATATAAATTACATTTTAACTAATCTCAACTCATTTCTACGATTTTAGTATCGCACACTATTTCAGAACTAATTTAATAAGGAAAATGGATATACTGAAATAGCCCGCCTGTTTATTAATCATAGGGGGAATCATTGATGATGACGCTTTCATTGCATCTTTGTCAGAATAAACTCAATTCCTTTTTTTATTACCGGAACTGAAGCTTAAACAAATCTCTCTCTCTGTCTGTCTGTCTGTCTGTCTGTCTGTCTGTCTCTCTCTCTCTCTCTCTCTCTCTCACACACACACACACACACACACACAAATAACGAATTAAAAAATGAAAATATTACTGAACGGTTGCTAAGATGCCAATGAAAAAAGAAATACCCTCTACTTTTTCTTCTGCCAGACATTTTCTTTCAGGATATGAATGATCATAGCACTCCACAACTTCTTGAATTTTTTAGCTCTAACGAATGCTTCTGTTTCTTATTACTTTACATTAGTCATCATTCGCTATTCCGAAATCGACTTTCGAATTTCGACACATATTTTTTCTCCACTGTTAAAACACTGGCTAGATATTTAAACCCTTGAACTTGCTTGGAAGGCACGGTGGGGTAATGGATGGCAACTCGAATTAAGGAATCGGAGAGCCGGGTTCGAATTCCAGTCGAATTCATTGCACGTGATAAATACCCATGGGAAAGGTGAGAATCTTCTTCTCAGCTACGGATAAATAGCAGGACAGACTAAGGCAACTGGTTTACTGCAGAAGGAAATAGCAACCTACCGCGGGAAAAGAAATCTGCCTAGTCAGTCACCGAAAGAGTCATGGCACGTGACTGATTGATTCTCTGATTCTTAATTTTCATCGTGGTTGTTCTTTTTTTTCTGTCGACCATATATATTCCCCTTCAATTGATGTTTGGTTCCCAATCGGTACCATAACTTTCACCAGTCGCAATGAACGTATGTTCCATCAGGGATGTCCCGTAACTTTAGCACTTATTGGGAATTTTAAAAAAAAATCATTTCACCCCAAGCACAGCGGGAATGCTACAAGTATGCAAGAGGCTACAGAGAATGGGAGTGGGAGAAAAGACTGGCTATAAGGGAATTAAGGAAAGGATAAAAAATGAACAGTATTCAAGAATATAGAAGATGGTGATTGACGTTGCATTTAAATATTTGAAGATTGTAGTTATCAGGAAAGCAATTAAACGGAAGGGAATTCCACAGGCAGGAAGTGCGAGAAAAGAACCTGCTGTGGCGGTTACATTTAACGATTTCAACAATAAAATGGTGAGACCGAAATGTCAATCTAGTAGCACGCTAAAATTCATGTAGTCGGAACACCAGGCGAGAAAAAGCTCGTTAGAAAAACTGTCATGAAAATACTTCTAGAAAAGACAGAGGTAACCTACGTCATGTCTGTAAGAAAGTGACTGAAGTCGAGATGCCAAGATCCTTCTTTGGAACATCGAGATCAATATCAGGAGCACCAGATCCCATATGCAAAAGTATTGAATGCACAAACGAATGGTAGATTTGTAAACGTGTAAGATGAACTCCGACAAGAAAAAAACTTCTGGCACGACACAGTGACCCAAATTTCCTTTCAGTAGATGCAGCTCTCAGCACAGTGGAACTCATACATACGATTTATCGCTATAGTACCTTTTTTCTCCTGCTATCCTTTGCTTTTACAAGAGTCAGATTAAAACGAAAATGAAGTACTGCTGACATGTATGAGCAGCTGTTGACCATTCTTCACTTTACACTATTGACAGAGCGCAAAAGCGTCTTCGCATTTTGGTAGATGATGAATTATTTTCCAACCTACAATTCCTTTCCCACAGAGGAGAAGTCACAAGCCTCTCGCTGTTCTATCGCTATTTCAATGGAGAGTGTTTAGACGGACTGCACTCCATAGTCTCACCTGTCCTGAACTTCAGACTCACCGTACCAAGCACATTTTGCAAACCACATTCATTCCCTTCGTATTCTCTTGATGCGATGTGATTTCCACCCAGGGAGCTTCTTCACGCGAACCAATGACTTGTAGAACTGACTACCAAGAGGTTTCCTTTCACTACAATCTTAACTTAGGATTAAACGTTATCTTCCAAACATATCATCATAAACTGTGCCTCTGCAACCACCTAACACGAGTGGCCTTAGGACCTTGTACAGGATGAATGCAAAAAGTCCGTGCGACTGCTATAAAAACTATATCATCAACATGTCGTATGTTTTTAGGATTGTAACCGCCAAGAGTAGTTCCCGGTAGGTCTCCTAATTCTCTTAGTATTCCTTCGCTGTAAAGGTTGAGTAATTCATGTGAGACGACACACATTTGTCATAAGCTCATTTCTATGGTGATGTATTTACTGAATACATTTTCTATTTGTATACAGTACGTTTTCCTTCTGGTATAATTTCTACATTATTCTAATGCTTTTTCCATATAGAAAAAAATTACCTAGTATTTGTAACAGTTTTGTGTGTTAAATCATATGAAAATATTGAATACTCTACAAAATATGAGTATAGCTTTTTTCTACCTTTGTATTGCTCTTTTTGATAGTATTCTCAGTACAAAAATTACATTACTTGTTCCCGTATCTTTAACGAATCCGCGCTGTTCTTGTCTTATTTTCTATGTAATTCTGCTACACGGATAATACATTTTGCTATGTGGCTTATTAGCTTGATTTTTCGATCGATCTCATTTCTACATGACTACTTATTTAATTTAATATTTCTTTAATTTAGTCAATGCAAAAGTCAGCTAAGTCTTCTAGCATCTCAATTACACACAGATATGCTTTTGCTGTTTTCTTCTTATTCAACTGGCGAGTACTATTTTCATTCTGACTTTAATATTTCACGTCTTTCCATATGATTGTTTATTACAGATTTTTACTAGACTTGGAAGAGTTCTCCAATATATTCGTTCCAAATTTTAAGTATTTTCCATTCTCTAAGCATCATCCCCACTTTGATTTTATGCATCTTGTCGATAGGCACCTCATTCGTCTTTTTATTTCTTTTATGCCAGACTGGGTTCTATAGCCTTGGATGGCAACTGGTCGTTTGGCGACCTTGTGGGACGTACTGCACCAGATCTCTGTATTTGGCCCTTCAAAAAAGTGTGGCTGATTTTGCACACAGCGTGTACCACTCTAAACACATGTGCTGGTGTCTGGGCTGTCGGTTCCTAAGAACTGAGTTGTTTGACACTCATACGGTGAAAATGCCGGGAGAGTCCACTATATATATATATATATATATATATATATATTTTTGGTTGGATAGATGTGAGTTTGTGACCCTGGGTTTCACGCTTTAGCGATCGTCAGACAAACTGATTAATGTTTTAAAAATTTGGGTTTATGTAGATTGCGTGTATTGGTGTTATTGTGGAAGTGGTGGGTGAAATTTCGTCGTTTTGTCATTCATCGTACTAACGCAAACATCGATGTATGCAGACACATATACATATACATACTTGGTCGTCCGTCGGGACTCATACATATATATAAACATATGTAGACAGTTTCGGCTATGACACATGTATGTATACGGGTGGTGTTATGTCTATACATACGCATTTGTATGTTGAAATGTTGAAATTTAAACATTGAAGTGTGGCGGAAATGTCTCGTTATTGTCTCGTGAATGTATCCATGTCATATTATGAAATTTTTTTTTTTTTTTTTTTTTTTCGTTGAAAATATTTTCTCGCACGTATGTATATATGTGTGTGGGGTTTGTGTAAAATTATGATAGGTAAAAAATTATAATTATTTATATTTATTCTTAAATTTTTTAAAAATGGGGTTTATTTGTTATATTTAAAGTTGGTTATTTGTTTGTTTTTGGTGACTGTGTATATGTAACAGGTAAAAAAATTGTAATCCTTATTGTTTAATTTATATGGTGATGTATAATTTAATAACGGGTTTATATGATATGATGATAGTAATGTTTCAAAGTTGAGACAATGCTATTTAGGTTTTAGCTAATAGTTATTGTAAACTGGAAGAAATTGCAGATTGGTAGAAATGATTAGTAACGGTGGTGGGAGAATGATAAAACCAAGAATGTAGTTATAGTGGTGGTAGTTTGAACTAAAAAGTGGTTGTTGGTGTTTTATTTTTGTTTTATTTTGTTATATGTATTAATTTATTTTGGTATAAATCCTGATAATAGGTATTCTATGTAAAATTATGGTAGTTGAAGATTGCTATCTATTATCCGAATTCATACCAAACGGATAAAACAGACAAACCACCAACAATCACAATTTAATTTCAAGATACCATCAAAATAATTGCACCTATCATTATTATAATTGCACCACCATTAGTAATCACTTTTACCACCTTACTATATCTATTAACTATCAATATTATCATTACCACCTACACACAGCACCATCACTTACACATCACACCCACTATTAACATATAATCCACTACAATCTTTATAACCCCCCCCCAGCATATTTAATACTTTAAAACAATATGATCAGATATAATTTCCATATGTAACCATGAGAACAAACACCTATTACCAGGCAGCTTTAATATAATAATAATAATTTTGTAATTAAAAATTATCATTCTCCCACCACCGTTACTAATCATTTCTACCAATCTGCAATTTCTTCCAGTTTACAATAACTATTAGCTAAAACCTAAATAGCATTGTCTCCAAACCTTTGAAACATTACTATCACATCATATCATATAAACCCGTTATTAAATTATACATCACCATATAAATTAAACAATAAGGATTACAATTTTTTACCTGTTACATATACACAGTCACCAAAAACAAAACAAATAACCAGCTTTAAATATAACAAATAAAAACCCCATTTTTTTAAAAAATTTAAGAATAAATATAAATAATTATAATTTTACCTATCATAATTTTACACAAACCCCACCACACATATATACATACGTGCGAGAAAATATTTTTCAAATATTTTTCGAAAAAAAAAAAAAAATTTCAAAATATGACATGGATACATTCACGAGACAATAACGAGACATTTTCGCCACACTTCCAATGTTTAAATTTCAACATTTCAACATACAAAATGCGTATGTATAGACATAACACCACCCGTATACATACATGTGTCATAGCCGAAACTGTCTACATATGTTTATATATATGTATGAGTCCCGACGGACGACCAAGTATGTATATGTATATGTGTCTGCATACATCGATGTTTGCGTTAGTACGATGAATGACAAAACGACGAAATTTCCCCACCACTTCCACAATAACACCAATACACGCAATCTACAAAACCCAAATTTTTAAAACATTAATCAGTTTGTCTGACGATCGCTAAAGCGTGAAACCCAGGGTCACACACTCACATCTATCCAACCAAATATGTTAGCTCTATCTCTGATATTGAGCGCTTTCTAATAAGTACCGCGTATATATAAATAATTATACATATATATATATATATATATATATATATATATATATATATATATATATATATATATATATATATATATATATATATATATATATATATATATATATATATATATATATATATATATAAAAAAAAATAAACTGAATTCCATTTCAGTTTAACGGCAAGAAATCGAACAGAAAAATATCAGTGTCCCAGAACCCATTTTTTTCATGATTTGGTCTATTATGAGTTCTAATATTCCTTGCCAGTTTCAATTTAAGTCCACACTTCCCGACCCAGGGATTGAACTCACAAGCTTTATGTCATTATATTCCTAAACCAATACTTAATCCACTAGGCCATTTTTTCCTCTAGTAATTTTCTCGTGTGATAGTGTGTACTTGCGCTCAGTGGCAATAACTTAGCAGTACTAAATAAAATATCCTTAGTCATGGGGATGGACGAGAACCATCTACCCCGTAGTTTAAATAAAGATTTCAGTTCAGGATTCCCTATAAA